CTTACTTTTGGTCGATGAAAATTGCCCTTAAAGGGGTATCTGGTGTTATACTTGTGCAAGTTAGAGGCTGTTCTGAGAGAATCATAAAACAGTGAAGGAATACTGGAAGACTTGTTAAATATCTTATGTGCAAGTACGCATGTACTCAGTTCAACAGTGTTATCAAATTTAAGAATATCAAGAAGTTTATAGAAAACTTTGGATGACTTTACTATAAAAACATACATCGAATGTATTTATTTTGAAGAGAACATAACTTGTTTAAATTTGATGGATAAGTATTTCCCCACACTACGACTGCATAGTTTAAATAAGGAAATATCAGTGTATAATAATTGTTGAAATAAGCGCCGCTCTCGTATAAGCGCCTCACCTATAACGGGAAAAATTAAATAAGCACCTCGGTGCTTAATCGCATTTACGGTAACTCTCTTTTAATCCCAGGACAATATATCTATTCTTCCATAACTTTGTTCTATTGTATTGTTGTTCTAACACACAATATTTTTTTTTTTTATATTCTTTCATCATCTCAGCCGTTTAAGCCTGGAGTTCAGGCGGTCGAAAGCTTGTGTCTTTTAATATTCTTAGCCAAAGAACGCTTTTGCAAAAAGTTTTAATATTATTCACCCCTCGATATTTTTATAAAAACATTTTGCATAATTATCATTTGATTTCAAAATGGCGGCTGCTTGTTGACTCGCACATTATGAATATTTTTGGGGGGAATCTTGAAATTTGCGTTCTCTGTAGGCAAGGAGCGGTCAAAGGAGACTGATATCAGTTCGGCTGATACTGAGCTCCTTCAAAAGGCACCACAATATCTTGCTCATTTGTTTGACTTCCTTCTTCCGAACGCATCAAATTTATCTTTAAATTCAGTTTAGAAAGAACAAGAATGAAAAAAGTCCCCTTGCAAAAAATCCCCCTATCCTAGAGTAGCTTTTAGGCTGAGTCAGGGGGGAGGGAAGGTCACTCTATTGTTTTCCACCAAAGTTTCTTGACCCACTCCGCCTGCCAGTATGACGTCACATAGTAACGGGCAAGAGCCTTGAGTCGCTTGTGCAAATTAGCAAGGGATACGACAGTTATTAGGACGAGCGAGGTCGAGGAAAAGCTAAGAAACTGGCAGATATCGCTATATATCGCTAATTTGATCGAATGTGTGTGAGCTTTGGTGTTGCTATAATCTGCTTGTGTAAACCGTTTTTATATTTTGTGTCCGTAATTGTATAATTTTGTTAATTTGTTTTGCGGGCCGTGATGCGGGATCGCCGTCTATTTCACGGGACTGGCAAGGTCATTAAAGCATAAATCCTTTTTTTTCTCTAAAATAGGCAAGGTCTAGTCTCCAGAATAGGAGGTTTCATTCACTGATCACACATGTTTATATTTCATCTATTCTTTTAGTAGTTCTACGGGCCTAACTTCATATCAATCCTTTCGAGTATAGGCCTCTGTTCATCTCCTAATTCTCCACCATATTCAGAAAGGTTGCTCGATCGATTATCTACATCGAGTCGGCCCTTTCAACCCGAAATAATGCGAAATAGCTTTGAAATACGCGCTGAAGCTAATTTTCCTCAAATGTATATTTGAATTCATGATAAATACAGCTCCACCGGCTTCAAACATCGTCTATGGCAGAGAAATATTGTTTTGATATGACAAAATTAAATTTTCAATTCAGGTGTGTCACTGTGGTGCAGTGGTCAAGGAGATGATTGCACGTGCAGATCAACCGGGTTCGCCTCCCGGCGACGCGGTTTTCGGCTTCTTAGTACCGTTTTTTTTTTTTTTTTTTGTTCCGTTTTTTTTTTTTTTTTCTCTTTAGTCTGTTTTTTAACACTGTTTTTTCTTTTGGCCTGTTTTCCGTCATTCTTACTGCTGACCCTGCTGATCATGCACTTGGGTCAATATATATTTTAAGCTTAAGGACGGAGTTTTATTTTGCAAAAGGGATTTCAAGAGTTCTTGATCTGCATACTGGGCAAGCTTACGACCAGAAAAAAACCATATTAGCTGTCAAGACATGCCCTGTCTGTCTGAAACAGCTGAATTTTTTTCAATGTTAGTTGACATCATGACAAGCAACACACAGTACACCACAAACTGTACTAGTTTACGCCCAACACCTTCCAGTAACCCACTGGCGAAATTTAAACTTGCCTTTTGTACATCGTCTTAATCATCAATGTTATTACTCTAAAATCTCCACTGGGTTTGCCCAGGAAAAATAATTAAACATTCCTATATAGCCCATATATGGCAGTACCCCCCCGGGAGCGAGAAGAACAGGTGATTTATACTTTCTTATGCGAGATTGATGACCTGTACCCTCATTTTGTTTTTGTCAATGGTAATTTTTTTTTTTAGTTTTGCGTCTTTTGAACAATTTTGAACAATGAAATACACTGGTCTCGTAGAAGTCATGATAGAAAGTGACCGGGGAAGCAAAAAATCAGCCGGATAGAAACAAACTGTTTTCCGGGTATGGAGGAGGCTAACTTATCACTGATTATTATAAGAGAAACATCTTTATACATCTTACTGTTTTAAGCTGCACAACAGTGCCAGATTGTTCCATCATGGGGTTTTTCCTATAATGCTCCACCAGATTAGTCAGATCGTCAAATTTCTCTCTACCAAGACCATATTTACCATCTTCCGCGCAATGGCGTATCATGACATGAGTAATTTTGTCCTCTAATCTGATTTAGTAAACAACAGGAAAATGTTAACGATACTCCTGTTGTTATAACAGTGGTGGGTTTAATTTGTAGGTACAGTTGTGGGTGCAACTGTAGTTGTTAGTATTAGGGTCAGGGTTCAGGGTTTAGTCAAACCTGCACACCCAGAAATTAAATCAGCTTTTTAGTATTAATACCAAGCAAGGGATCGTTACCAGGAGTATAAGGGAAATTTCACATTTTTGGCTGATTAAAAAAAAAGTTTTTGAGGGTCCTCTCACCTTCTACCCACGTCTCCCAAGTAGTTACCTGTACTTTTACAGGCTGTATTACTGGTTGTACTAACCATGTAATTAAAGATGAGGCAACCTCGTTCCCAGGGTTCTCTCCTACCCTCTCGCTCCGTAGGGCGGGTAGGAGAGGACCCTGGGAACGAGGTTGAAGATGAGGCTCCATGGCTGAACTTACACGACAGCGTAATGGTTTTTACGTGATTTTCAGCACAAAAATTTAACTCTTAGGCCTAGACCTAATGTCGAACTTTTCATGAGACGAACCAAACTCTAATTTCGGTCGACCTAATTTAAGTCTGTTGGGTCAGACGTCGGACTTAGGACACGTCGAATCAATCAACTGATCATGAATCACATCAGTAATAAATTTGCTCCCGAACGAGGCTAAATATACATTATCATACAATTTTTCAATTTATTTTATCAGTTTAGTTCGTCGCATGTAAAGAGATCGTCGTTTGTCCCGCAGACGATCTTCACACGTTCTATCCGTCTGAAGCAGACGGATGGAACGTGTTGAGCGTGTTGGACGATCCAAACTCATTTAGACGAACTTAACTGAGACAGACGTCGAACTTTTTATGAACTTGACTCACTAACAGTAAGTTTGGTTCATCTCATGAAAAGTTCGACGTTTGCCCTAGGCCTTGCAGTCTATGTAAACCACATCAGTAAAAAGGGCAGCATCATATGAATTCAATCCCAAGTGTACATGTATGCAAAATAACGACAACAAATTAACACCTGCTGATGTACAAATGGCTTGTCACAATTACAGTTCATTCTTCAAAGCATGAGAAAAACATAATCAATGGTTCTTGATTGATTTTTCCAAAGAACCAATGTTTAAGGCTTGCGCTCATTCTTTCCTATTCGTCTTTATTCAGAGACAGTTTTAGTTCAGTTATTTAATGGAAGAAAATAGGTGAACCTGCAACTAATTGCAACAGAAGGTATTTAATCTGTTTTACATTGTACATATACTCGGGAACTTCATGTGCTTTATAACACATCAAAGTAAAAGACGCTATGATGAAGATCAAAACAAACAAGGCAACGGGCTGTAAATGTGT